AGGTAGGTTGAGGGTATTTATTATTGCTCGAGCAAGTTGACGGTTTTATTTGATTTTGTTTTGTCAAATGCGATTTTTCAACGTGAGAGAGGAATCAGGTCTTTCACTCTTCGGGAGGATACACAACAAGCTTGAATTTCAAATTTTGAACTAGGGGGCAATGGGATGAGTTAACCAGAAAGGTTTATTATTAATTGACAAAGCAGAATGTGTAAGTTCAAACTTTCAAATTCAAGACTTCGAGGATTGGTCCTGTGGTATTCGACCTCAGAGCTAGGTCATTCAATTTTGGACCTCAGAGTTAGGTCTTTCGAGTTTTGATCTCAGAGTCAGGTTTATCGATTTTTGACCTCATAGGCAGGTCTTTTGCTTTTCGACCTCAGAGGTAGGTCTTTTGTTTTTTGACCTCAGAGGCAGGTCTTTTGCTTTTTGACCTCAGAGGCAGGTCTTTTGTTTTTCGATCTCAGTTTTGGATTAGAATTTTCGACTTCAATTTTGGTTCTTGACTTGGAGGTAGCGTCGAGTTATTCAGTACCCAATCTCAGACACAGTTTTCAGTGCTCGATCTTAGAGAAATCTTTTGGCATTCGACCTTAGCTTCGGTACTCAATCTCAAACATAGGTATTTCGGCTTTCAACCACATCGCTAGGTCTTCTAGTATTAGACCTCGGATGCGGGCCCTTGGATGCTCGATCCCGGATGTAGATCTTTCAGTTTTCAATCTCAAACACTGGTCTTTCAGTTTTCAGTGCTCAATCTCAGAGACAAATCTTTTGGCATTCGACCCCAGTTTTGGTTCTCGATCTCGGATGCAGATCTTTTGGATTTCGACTGCAGAGGCGGGTCACTTGGATTTCAATCTCAGTGATCATCCGACTTTCGATCCTCGACCCTAGCAGAGGCGGGTCACTCGATTTTTTATCTTATTGGTCATTCGGCTTCCGATGCTTGACCCCAGTGGCGGGTCACTTAACTTTCGACCTCTACAACCATTCAATTTTCAGTGTTTGACTCCAATGGCGAGTTGCTCTATTTTTTACTCTTGGATCGAGTTATGCTCACTCGACCAGAGTGGGGGGGACTAGATGATATAGCCACGACTAGTACGGTCGGCTCGACCGGTAGCATCTGATATAGCATGACATACCCGACCGGTTTTTATGGATATATATATTGAAGAATATGCCTATACATGGGCTAAGACACTTGATATGATAATATGGGTCAAGCCCAACTTGGACTATAAGGTACACTCCCCCTATAAAAAGGGGGCTAAGGTACTCTTTTCCTTCATTCTCTATATTGATTCCATACTACACTCTCTCTCTCTTGATCTGAGCACTGACCTAAGCATCGGAGGCCCAAAGTCGGGCACCCCGCCCGGGTCCCGACATTGGGTTCTTGCAGGTACGGTGGTCGTCCGAGTCGAGGGAGCCCATGTGATATCTTTGTCCTATCAACCGTTGACTTCCGGCGAAAATCGTTGACTTCCTGCATTGACCGTTGACTTCCAGCGTTGACTCCGGCGTTGACCGTTGACTTTCGGCGTTGACATGTTGCCCTTGATATGCAATATGTATGAAGTAAATATGCATCCAGTACCGTGCATTCAATATGAACTAAATATGCATGGGATATGAATTGCAAATGCAATCCTTATGAACTAAATATGCACCAATAATATCTACTAAGTATGCACCTATTATTAACTAAATATGCATCTGTTATGAACTAAATATGCATCATGAATGAACTAAATATGCATCGAAAAATATGCAATAAAATGTTCATTTTATATAGTTAATTTATGATGCATATTTAGTTAATTTATTATGAATATTTAGGTAATTTATGATGCATATTTAGTAAATACGAAATGCATACTTGTTATATTTATATTAAATATATAATGATGTTTATATAGTTAATTTATGATGCATATTTAGTTAATTCATGATACATATTTAGTTCTTACGAAATGCATATTTAGTTCATGAACAGTGCATACCTATTTTATTTGAGATCCAATCATAACAATCTATTTGTGTTATTAATCAATTTAAAATTAGAATTAATTATATAATAAAAATCATTAATTATTATATTTAATTTAATTGTATAAAATGTATATTTTATTGCATATTTTCGTTACATATTTAGTTCATTCATGATGCATATTTAGGTAGTAAAATGTGCATATTTAGTACATAAACAGTGCATACACAGTTGATATTATTGGTGCATATTTAGTTCATAAGGATAACATATATTTCTTATGCTTATTTAGTTCATACTAAGTGCATAGTACTGTATGCATATTTACTTCATAAACAATTCATACTGAGGGTCAACGGTCAATGCTAAAAGTCAACGCCAGAAGTCAATGGTCAACGCCGGAAGTCAACAATTTTCGACAGAAGTCAACGGTCAAGACCGGAAGTCAACGGTCAACGTCGGAGTCAACAGCCAACGCCAAAGTCAATGGTCTATTGTCAAAATAATATTTAAATAATTAAAAAAATAAAAATAAAGAATTAAGTAATAAAAATAAAGTATTACTATTTAATTGAAGAGTTAAATCTTGGCCACACATAATGTACCAATCTAGTGGCTAGGAATGGGTCTCACATTCACACTTTAAATATGTAGACTCATTGGATCCAATCCCTATATATATATATATATATATATATATATATATATATATATATATAAGTTTGAATATTTTTTAAATAGTAATGATTTCCCTCCAAAAAAATCTATTTACTATTTCGATTAGTTAATTTAATAATTTAAGGTATATTTCAAATGATCACTTATAGTAATTGCACCACGGGTTGAAAGGGATATAATGTGATTTATTAGCAGTTATGTGCAACAAGTGTACTAATTTAAATAGACAATTTTATGTAATTTTATACAATTTAAACTTTATATAACATTGTCAATAAATTAGTACTAGTACAACGCCCGTGTATTACACGGGTGCTTGTTATTTTTTTCCTTAAAATCAAAAATTATTGAGAAAAGGTAGTTGAAAATTTAAATAACTTTTATAAAAATATATATTATTATATATTTAGTATGACACTTTTTGTTTGTGTGACTTACTTGTGTTATATTATAATAATTTTTTTAACTTACAACATATAATTACATTAAACAAAATTATATCAACTGAGAAATAATTTTATTTTTTAATAAAATTTAATAAATATTATTTTTTATTATTATAAAAGTAAATATTATTTATTTAATTTATATATACAATATGGATGTCAAATCAAAGATAATGAAAAGATGATTAATTTGATATATTATATATGTAAAACCGATAAGAAATACAAAAGTTATCAACTTTTAAAATACATTTATAATTCAATAGCTAATTGAAGGAAACAAATCAAAAGTCAGGGATATATTAGTCACTTAGTGTCTCACTATGTAAAATTACAAAGAATTAAAGGGTTATATTAGTACAAGTGATATTAAAATACCTAAGTTGTCTAAATAATATTTATGTAATGTCCGAACCTAGATATTTATTGTTAATATATCAACATTATTTGTCTGAAACTAATTACGAAGCATGATTCTTCGCCAAGTAGGATTCCGAAGCACCAGAAGCAGCCACGTAGGCTCAGCGCATTCGAAAATTATATATAAGGGGCGATAGGTAATTGTATCTCTCTTACCCGTGAATTGCACGGGACTCCTACTAATTTTATACTTTATAGTTAGTACGAAATAAAACTAAGAAAATGGTATAAATAGTTTATTAAAAGTTCAAAATATGTGAGAAAATGGTATAAATAGTTTATTAAAAGTTCAAAATATGTGAGCGAATAAGAAATTTTGCGATAATAATGTAGTGGTAATTGATTTTATTTTTTAATTATACTAATAAATTTAGAAGAAAAATGCTGACCTTCTTGAATAATAGATTTTTTTGAAAAAATTGTATCCTATTATAGATTTAATAGTTAAAAAGAAAATTACATTGTGAGATAAAATAAAAATAAATTTTATATCCGGTGGTATCTAATTTTCTTGTCTTTAATACAAGTTATCTGAAAAAAACAAGTTAATCGTATATATGAATAGTTTACTGTAGGAACTTAATACTTATTTGACAAGTGTGATTTATGTTATTAAATTAAAATATTGGTGCAATAACTATTAAAATATTTTGATTACACTCAAACTATATTATACTTTATATCATGTTATTTGTATAACAATATATTGGTAAGACTATTATAATCATTTTCGATAATCCAAAATTGTAACTTATGCTTTTTATATATCTCTTTGCAAGTTCGTATTTCTAAATGTAAATTGCTTGTCAACCGGTTCATAATCATTTGCAGGCGCAGATTTACACTTGGTCCAGCCTTGGCAACTACCCAGGCTGGATTTTGGCTGCTAATGTATGTAGTTATAATTTCCAAATAAATATTTATGAAGAAAAGACAAAGTTGGAGAACTTGCGAGACATAATAAAAACAATTTTAAGTTTTTTTAATAGTCTATATAAAACAACGAAGTCGAACATTATCTCTATGTTCTCTTCTATAATTAAATTTGTTGAAATGATAATCGAGATGGCTATTGCTGATCAAAGAGGACAATGTAATTTGTTGCTTGTGCAGATACAACCCTTTGATTTCATATTTTGTCTTCTGGTAAGGAGACAAATTTTAAACTAACTAATGAGTTTTGAGTAGAACTCTAAAAGGATGATCAAGATACTGTTAATGTTATGGATTTGGTCAGGGCAAGTAAGACCGTGCTAGTTTATAAAAACTAGAAAAAAATCATTTTTTTTTGTTTTTTTGTTATCTAAAGCTTATCTGAAAACATTTAATATGATTAGTTTTTTTTTTAATAGAACGACAAAGCCGATACAAGCTAACTGAAGAAAAATAAAAAGAAAAAAAACAGCAAGGGAAGAAAACCAGAAACCACAGAGAAGGCACCAAGAAGAGACGCCCAAATGTTATAAGCGCGGGTAAGGAAACATAGCTGCGTCCTTAGCCAATAGAGTCAGTAAATCGTCCGTGGGAAACGCCCAAGTAGTCAAGAAAGCTTCCTCCTTGGATCCCCTCCTTGCCAAGCAATCTGCAACAGAATTTTCCTCCCTCCAAAGGTGAAAAAACCGAATATGCTGGATCGAACTAATCTTATCCTTGATGTTCATGATGAGCCCTCCCATAACATGAGTAGTAACTGATGTCGTGTTAATCAACCTGAGAGCCTCTTGCGAGTCCGAGTAACAGGTAAGAGTTGTACACCCCCGAGCAACTGCTAAAGATAACCCTTCGAAAATAGCAACTACCTCGGCCAAAGTATTATCTGCAATCCCAATGTTACCTGAAATACCCTCAATCCACACCCCCTCATGAGTGCGCAAAAGAGCCCCAAATCCGGAAGGTCCCGGATTACCCATGGACGAACCGTCTGTATGCAAGATCATACCCGTACACTGAAAGGGGTTCCATGTTACTGTTTTCGGCAAAGTGTCATGGCATACCCCATCCACAAGCCTATCTGCCCGCAACCGTGTATCCTTCCACCATTGGAAAGAAGACAGAATTTCCTTTACAACAACAAAGGGAGACTTGGGAGGATTTCCGAACACCCTATTATTACGTTCCAACCACATAAACAAAGTGTAAATCGCATACCCACCGGCGCATTCACGATAAAATCCAGACCATGGCTAACACGGGGGATAGTGTGGGCCAGCCGATAGGGGAAACCACAACGAACTAACCTGGCCCAAACCTGCGTAGTCCACGGGCACTCAAAGAACATGTGCACCCAGGTCTCCGTTCCATCTCCGCAAATTGTGCAAGCACCCGTTGTTTCGAGATGCCGTCGATGGCGAAGATCCGTCGTAGGAAGCGAACAATGCACAATAAGCCAACAGAAAAAATTTATTTTTTCTGGAACATCATGCCTCCAAATCTTTTTCCACGACATCATCGTGTTATAACTCTGATTCAGCAGCCACTCATAACAAGACGCCACTGAATATTTCCCTTTACTACCAACAGACCAACACCACTTGTCTGGCACTGATGGGTGAAGATAAATATTACGGGCATCCTTCAGTGCCTCCGAAATATGTGCTGGGAATATCGTGTGCAACGACTGGACATCAAACCTCCGTTAATGATCATCTGACGACATGATTTGTCAGAATCGGCTATATGTACATAATCCACCAGACATTTAATGGGTTTGCTTTGAAAAGAAAATTCCGTCCCAAAAATTGGTCTCCCCATTACCTATCTTGTACGTGAACCCAGTCTCAATGATAGAAAAGCACCGCCTCATTGTTGTCCAGACAGAAGAAGACTGGATCTTGGACTTTTTAATCCCATCGTACCCCTTGCCAAAGCGGTCAGACAAAACCTCAACCCAGAGTGATGAAACGCCTTCAATGTATTCGCTAACTTTTTTTCCCAAGCATAGCTATATTCATTTGTCGTGATTGACGTAAGACAAGGCCTCCCAAGCGACGGGGCGTGGCCACCTTTTGCCAATTGACTAGATGAAGACCCCGTCCATCGCGGTCCTTCCAAATGAATCGCTTCATGATGTTGTCAATTTGCCTGCAATTTTTTTTCAGAAACCACGATATTTGCATAAAGTAAACTGGTACCGTTGATAGAACCAAGCGCGCTAATGTAGTTCGGGCCGCCTTGTTCAGAAATTTAGCGTGCCACGGGGGTAGTCGCCCAGAGATACGCTCAAGGATGAATTCAAAATGGGATACCTTGCGCCGTCCCGCAATAATGGGGAAACCCAAATATTTATCAAAGGCTTTCGTCGTTGGAATGGAGAGACAGTGACATATACGATTACGATTCGCATCAGAGGTCGCCTCTGAGAAAACAATTTGGGACTTACTCAAGTTAATCGCAAGTCTCGCTTCATCGGCAAAAGCATGAAGAACTGTACTGATAGTTACGACAGTGGTAATATTAGCTTGAGCATAATCAGAACATCTTCCACAAATAAAAGATGACTTATCGCCGGACCTCCACAAGTCAGCCTAACGGGAGTCCAATTTCCCGCACTGACCTCCCGATTGATGGTTCGAGTGAGGCGCTCCATAATGATAACAAACAAGTAAGGGGAAATCGGATCCCCTTGGCGGAGACCCCGTGAAGGGTAGATTTCTGAAGAGGGCCGGCCATTCCAATGGATTGCGAAATGAGCGGAAGTCACACATTCCATGATAAGAGTGACTGATGGGGAATCCAGTCCCATTTGAACTAGCGACTCACGAAGATATTTCCACTTCACCCGGTCATAAGCACCTCATGGAGAACAATGGCATTGTTAGAAGTACCTCTGCCAGGAAGAAAAGCGGATTGCTCCAGGCCTATGCATTGAACTAAAATAGGTCTTAGCCAATATAAAATAACCTTCGTCACGAATTTGTAAACGACATTGCATAAACTGATAGGTCTGTAGTCCTTAATAGTAAGTGGTGTAGTAATCTTCCGAATCAGGCAAAGGTACGAAAAGCCGAGACTAGGCCTGAAATGACCATTAGCGAAAATAGTACGAATAAATTCACACATATCCGGCCCAATGTGATGCCAGAATTTTTTGTAGAAAGCAGCTGGGAAACCATCCGGTCCCGGGGCTGAGTAAGAAAAACAGGAGTCGACCGCCCGTTTGATTTCCATGTTGGAGACTGTGTGAGTGATCGACAACACTGTATTAGGAGCAGGAGGCACAAGAGGCTCAGTGAAATCGCAGCCAATAGGGATGTCGGGGCTATCCGTAAACCGACTCTCAAAATGCGCCATGGCATGTCCTCTGAGGAGTGTTTCATCAGATGTCCAGCAATTGTCAATTTGCAGCCCGTGAATGGCCGATTTATTTTTGTGAATTTTGGCGGCTGTTTGGAAGTATCGAGTGTTACGATCCCCGTGCAGGAGAATTTTTTCCCGAGATTTTTGAAACCAAATGGGCTCTTTCTGATGAAGAATGGTGTTATACTCTTTAAGAAGTTGCCCCTCAAGGAGTGTGAGTCGCGCCGAGTCTACCCGAGTTTAAATGCGTTGAATACCCAACAAACGACGTTGAATTTTTCGCTTGCGATCCCCAATATTACCGAAGCAAGTTCGATTGAACGAAAAAGAAGCATCTCTGACTGAGTTCAAGTTGAGCAAGAAGTCGCTGTTACCCAGGTCCCAATTGTCGATAAGCACATTAAGATAATCAAGGTGGTCTGCCCATGCCTCATGCCATCGAAATGGCGATTGTGGAAGCCCCTGTGTGTTTGATTTACGACAGCAATGCAGTAGGAGCGGGTTATGATCACTATTACCTCTATTTAATGTTTCCACCATCCCAAAAGGAAAATTGCCAAACCAATCTGAATCGGCTGTGACGTAGTCAAGGCACTTCTGGGAATGAATATTGACTCCCGTTGAAGATCTCCGCCATGTAAAAGGAGGTCCAATGTTCTTCATAACCGTAAGATCACAATGTTGCAGGACGTCATTAAGGATATCAGCTCGTTGTTGAATGAAAGCACATCCCGTGGAGTGAGATGGGCCAGTCACCTCATTCCAATCTCCTATGACGCACCATGGTCCTACACAGGTCAAACGCGCCGCCTTCAGGCTGTCCCAATCAGTAAGACGATCTCGAAATGATGGCGAGGCATAAATCCCCGTAATAGCCCAATGGAAGCCACCATGCTCGATGCTAATAGAAATCATTCGGGAAGAGGTATGACGAACAGAAACCCGAAAAGGGTGTCCACTTTTCTGAAGTAACCAAATTCCTCCACTTCTACCTGCCGCTTCAGAAATAAACAACCGATCATAACCACAATGATGTAGCCAGGCCTCATGTCTCCCGAAGATGCATTGAGGTTCCATAACAAAACAAAAAGTTGGTCTGTGCAGTATAAGGAGGTCCTTCAACTGTCTCTGCGAGTACTTGTTAACAATACCACGAACATTCCAGGATAATACAACAATGTCTTTAAACACATACGTACCCCTGTCATCCATATTATGAACACCCACCGACGCTGGGTGTCTAATTGAATTGACTGGCGTAGAACCCATAAAACGGATAATGGTATAATTAATTCTGATATACCTGAATAACATCCAGAGGTCTGGAATGAGCCTCCAGTTCATGCCCTGCATTGATGGCTTCTACTTCCATACCCATATTCCGACAAGTATCCTCCGTCGTTGAATTTAGGTGCTCAAACTTGTTAATGTGTATAATCCCCCGGGAGGTTGAAGCAACTTCGTGGGGCTGCTTATTAATGATTCCCTTAGACACGCCTGAATGACGTCTTTTTTTAGCAGAAGCGGGACTCGATTCGACTTCAACCAATGGCAGCTGATGAGTTTGGGTGACCTTACGAGAACCTCCAGTCACCTCTTTTTTAGAGATAGAAGTCTTTACTTGTTTCTGAGAATCATTCTTAGCCTTACTCTGCATCTTGGGAGCAACTGGGTATGCAGAAGACGTCTCACCCTTTTTCACATTCTTGTTCTGTTTACTCCTTCTCCTCCTTTGTTCCACGAGCCAATCTCCATGTAGTGCATCTGGGGGTTTCATATCAGATTCATTACTTATGGCTTTGCCCTTATCAGTCGAGGTTTTTGGGGCAGCAGACTCCATTGGCTTTCCGAATGAACATGTATTGCGATTATGGCCATATCGTCCACACAAGGGGCATAGAAGGTATATGCCCTCGTATTCAACCTTATACCAAGTTCCATGGAACCCTACCTGACCAACCACGGGCTGATTCAAATCAATCTGAACACAGACTCTCGCATACTTACCCCTTTCAACTGTAGAAGTATTAAGGTCAATCTGAACTGGTGTTCCCACCATTGATGCCAGGCAGAACATTATGTTCTCATCAAACATAGCCAGGTTTAGCCCTGAAAACCGAATCCAAACCAAGGTATTTTCAATCAAATCATTAAACGGATTAAATTGGGGAGTCCATTTCTGAACTGTAACATAGTGACCCGAGAGCATCCATGGGCCTCCATTCAGAGCTGTATCCCGGTCTTCTTCTCTAGTGAATTTCACCATGAAAAAGCCATTTGCCAAATCAATAAGCTCGAGATGTCTGTGAGGTTTCCACAGCCGCTTAAGCCCCTCTCTCATGTAGAAAAAGGATACTTTTTTTCCCTAGTAAACGAACCACAAGCCCATCTTCATATGGACGGCAAACTGAGGCATAATACTCTGGGTCGAGCTCCAAGACCGGCTTCAATCGGTCGTTGTCGATTAGTTTTATCCTTGCGATGTTTTCTTTGAACAGATCTCGTTTCTTTGGCGGAGGAGGAAGCGGCTTCGAAAGAAGGGTAATATCTCTGAAAGAGGGCTTCATACCTTTGAAGAGTAATGGAGTATCCGGTGGTTTATCAGGTGGTCGATCGGTGGCTGAATTCACCATCTCCGTGTCGCTGCCCAGCTCCGGCGTCTTCATCTCTCCGGTCATCTTTTTCGATATTGGACAATCAATATGATTAGTTGTGTGGAAATTTAAAAATTTATTAAAATAATATTTAATACAAATAATTAAAATTGATTGATGTAAAAGTAGGAGATATATGATTGGAAATGATAGGTAATTAAAATTGTGTAGTTGATTAATAGTGAATTAATATAAAGGGTAAGAATAATTGAATGATATTGTTTAGTTATATTGATAATATTGAAAATGATGGTGTTGAGTTAAAGTCGAGTTAGATTTAGAATTGAAATAGAATTTTTTTCTAGAAATTTGATAAACAAGCAAGACCGAAATAACTCCAAAAAATGAGAGAAGAAGAATGTGAATGGAAAATTTTCTTGCACAAGGTAAATTCGTATGTAATAACCAGGGAATAAAAAATTTCGAGCACTTTTTTATTTTATATTGCCTGGCTGATAAAAAATTATGCATCCGCCGCTGACCATTTGTTCTATATTTTTTTTTAAAAAAAAAATTTAAATAAGTTAACAATTTTGTTAATTTATAAAATCATATATATTGATAATTTTTTATTCATTTTATCATTTTATATAATTTCGCTATGAGTTACATATGAAATGTTTAGTTAGTTCAAGATCGTTTTAGTACAACATTATAAGTAATAATCGCTAAAGGAACATTGATTGGCTAATGGTTACAATGAAAAATCAACGTGCTAATCGAGTGATCAACTTATCAATTATTTATTTTATTTTATAAATATTTATGTAAAATAATTATTCCATAAATATTTTTCACACTTGATACTAATAATTGGATATTTATTTATGTTTTAAATAAAAGTTGTATTTTCTTTTTATTTATAATTTCAAAGGAGAATCACAAACCTCCCTAGATGTTGATGGTATGTATCATAGATGAAAGATAATCACAAACTTTTCTTAATTCAAAAGATATTTCTTCAATTAATAACGAGTATAGGTGGTTATTTTTTTTTTTTAATTCATAAGAAGAGTGATAAATATCTTTTAGTTGCAGACTATCATTAATTCAAAATATAATTGAGTTTGGAAGATTTTTATGCAAATCGTTTATATGCCAAAAATTTCGCAAATGAAAAAGACGTACTCATAAATAATAATCAATTTTATTTTAAAAAAGGACTGGTTTTCAAACATTTGATATTTGAATATGATTAAGTTATATATAATTAATAATTTTTTAATAAAATATGTCACACGTTGGCTACCATATTTTGTGATAGAAATAGTATATTGACTTGATTTTCTTTTTCAAAAATGGAATGAGATCTTAGATTTAATTAATATCATGTGAAGTACGAAAATAAAATAATTATTTTTTAAATCATTAAATTATTCTAACATTCAATAGTGGTGTCATATTTCCAATCCAATTTTAAATATAATATATAATAGTTTTATGGACATAGACTTAATGTATGGCTTTTATTTGCAATCCAGTTTGTAATGCAACTAGTGCGTATCCCGTGCGATGCACCGGTAAACAATATTAGTTAATGATTATAAATTAAAGAGATGTTAAATAATATTAACTAATAATTATAAATTAAAGAGGTGAACTTAATATGTAATATAATTTATCGTATATCAGTTGTAAACAATATATAATTATCTTGTATAAAAGAATTTGAAAAAATGTATGTTTAAAGTATTAAAAATGTCTAAAATATTATATAGCATATGTAAAAGTATTTAAAATTTTAAATATCATTATTGAAAGATGTGGAATCATCTAAAACTTTTTTAAACTATTTTGTAAAAAAAAAAAACATGCCTAAAACTATTTATATTTAACATATGTATATGTATATGTGTATGTAGACATGTATACATAGATAGAATATGTACAAAATTGTCTAAACAATATTTTTAAAATTATATAAAATATTATGAGTCTAATAAGAGATATTGTCTCGCG